ACCAGAGTCAGATTTTTCTACCACAGGGCGATTTTCCACATCAGATGCTTGTTCTTTTTTTTTTTTTTCCTTTTTGATCCTCCTGTACCATATGAACGCAGATGGTCTTGTTTCAGCCCATAAGATGCTGGAAAATGTGAAAGCTAAATAATTTAACTGGAAAGAGCTCTCTCTCTCTCTCCAAGGCCCCTCTCCTGACTTTCCTTGCCAGGCTCTTTACTACCGGCTAAAATAGAACTTCCACTATAAATAGGAGGGAGATCTCCTGCCTGCCCCACTGGCCTGGCTGAAGGAACAGTTGGCTTTCAGTCCCTCTCGAAACTACAGTTCAATCCATCTTCCAGCAGCGACACCGAAGAGGAGACCTTTTAACGGCACGTCGGAGGAGAAGTGAGTACATCTGGTGCTGGAGGCAGAAAAAAAGGAGCTGGAATATTCAGCAAGGAGCAAACCCATGTCCTGAGACCCAGAGGAACCGGGATCTAACTGATGAAAGCGCTTCCACACAATGAGCAAAATGTAGTCTATTTATATCTGGAATGCGGTCCCGGCTGTCACCTGACCGTGCGGCAGCCCCGCACAGATGACAGCACGGTGACTTTGGCTGCCATGGCTGCCTTCCACAACCCTCTGCACGGGGACAGACCACAGCCACGGGCAGCGAAGATCCCGTTTTACCTACCAAAACACAAGTCACGAGGACATTCCCTCAGGAATCAGATGATCCGAGGTCGCTCACCTACTGTCAGGTGACATCCTACAAAGACGCAACGTCTGGCCCTCTGCAGATACGTGCAGGCTTAAAGGTCTTCTCAATCAGACACTATTTCAGTCAGGTATTTAAGAAATTATCTGACTTTATGTGAGTATTTCCACTGCTGCTCTCATGCTGGGAGTTAAGTATGTCCCTCAGTGCTTCCATCAAGGATGTGATGACGAGCACTGCTACTCTGCTTTCCTAGAACAGCATGTACAACAAGGGCTAGGGAATATATTTTATATCTCTTATGATTCATCCTTGTGGAACAGTCACCTCAGGTTGGAGCCAGAAATACATCCAGTGGATTGGGATCAATTGACAATAATAAACGTTGGGGAGGGGGAAGGCTGAACCCCAGAGAGCTGGTGCATTTTTAACCCTGCTGAAATCAATGGCAATACTCACAGTGGTGTCAGTAAGGCCAGGATTTCACACACGATCACACTGACAGTGACCTCAAAGTCACTTTTAGTGCCAAGTGTTCCCAAGGTCCTGCAATTCCAGCACCGCTTTTGGGTGTTACTATGAGACAAAACATTTGAGCGTAACCCTCCAGGCCTCGTGACTCTGGCCCTGAGGGCATTAAAGTTTCTTCTTTCCTCATCTGACCCCGCTCTCTAGACCCTCAGCTGTGAACTCTAGCACAGCCCCACACCCCTACAAAACTCTCCTCTCCCTGGCCCTGTGTCCTGCAACCATTTCCCAAATGAATTTTCCTTTGTTCCTTTTTAATCTCAATGCACAGAAGTTTTCCACAACTTATAACCACCTCTTGTTCTTGGCTTTTTCAGTCACTGACCAGATGGGGAGTTTTGTGCAGAATAAAAGGGGGTTTTATTTTCCTTTGTGGTGAAAAATGCTCTGTGCTTCACTTCTTTTCAGATGTCCAACAGCAAGGTGTGTGGGAGAGACTGTGACCTCTTACTCTTTGCTTCAGCATTTACAAAAAGGAACCAGCTTCCCATTTTCCCAAAGTTCTGTGGTGGTCTCCTCCAGAGGGACTTTCTGCTTTGTCTCTTGGCTCAGTGGTTGGCACAGTAAGAATACAGAGTCCTTGTTTCCAGCCTTGATCCCGTCAATTCCACAGTCAACACTGACCAGAATGTTACACAACACCCCTCTCTTTGTCCCTAAAAAAAAAAAAAAATCTGTGTCAACTTCATTTACTGTTCTTGGATCCGCAAAACTAACTTGCCCCTTGTGTGCCCACACTCTCAGTTTCTCCTCTGGAAGAAAAACAACAACAGCAGTAACAACAACAACAACAA